GCACAGCGTGTAGCCACAGTTAAATCGGATCTTTCTCTCCATCTCAGTGTCAACGTCGCATTATAAAGAATTTCCTGCGCCTAAAACTCCTTGGAGAAGTTTTGAGCGAAGAAAAGAGGAGGCCGCGCGTGGAAACGCATACCGAAGAAGCCGCTGGTGGAAGTGCTCTCCCGATCCGCGTGAAACTTGAATGAGGTTCTTCGCGAGGAACACGCGAACGTGGAAGGATGTGGACTGGATTCGGGGATCCACATGCTTCTTCTTCGATCGATTTCCTCTCTTCCTTCGTCCCAGTGGGCTCCTTCTGTTCGATGGGGGGAGACGTTTCGGGTCCGGGGCCGTCGACACTTCGGGTCGAGCACATTTCCCCCGAGATTGCACTCGTCTTCGATGGGATCATGGAAGAGATCGATGCCTTAGTTTCTCTGGCGTGGATACGAGTCCGGGAGAGATCGGGAAACGGCTGCAATAATGCTAATGGGGAATTCCACCCCATGCTCTTCTCTGATGGAGGCGTTTGCATCGCTCCATGAAACCTCTGCAATCTCGCGCGAACTCGTTGGGAAGAAATAAATTCGTCTGCATGTCGGAAAACCGTAGAACTTTTTATATTGAAGTATTTGAAGAAAGGAAATTAATTCGTTGAGAAGTCTTCTTTCCTTCCTGTAATATGAAAGTAGTTCCATAAAATCCTATAGATTCTGACCTCACGAAAATGTCGTTACAAACCAAACGTGGATTATACTCTAAATGTTGTCGTGTCGATGGGATTCACCTGCGTCGAGCAGAGTATTCCTGTTGGGGAATTGGAACTGTTTGTGATTCTTGGGGGCATGAAAACACGATATGCGGACGATTGGAGTAATGCATTAGACACGTGCGATGGGTTTCGTTAAAGCTTGGTAAACACCCGTGACCCCAATAAGGGGTAAACTTCCACTAGCAGACGTGAAGACGTAAACGATAGTCCTGCTTTGGTGGATGTTCCTTTTTGCCTCGTTTCCCAGCGTGTCGCAGGCCAGCATCAGTCTCGTTTAATTATCGACGTCCCATGTATCTTCCCTCCGCAAATAGAGAACCCGGACGCCTCTAATGACTCAGGAGGAGAGATTAAGATCGCAAGAGTATCTATATAAGGCACGGTAGTCGTATGTGTTTCGCAGTAAAGTCGATACAGGTGACTTTGGAACGGAACTACAGGTACTTTATTTCATCAGAGGCGCATTCTCTCCAAGGATTCGCTGCTTGTGAAATCCGATGGAGCTGAAGGACTCGTAACGTACAGTAGATGGAAGAAACTCTCCGTCTTGAGTCTTCTCCAGAGTAATTGTGAAAATGTGACCGAGGTCTATATCCCCTCATCACAGACATTTATTGTGGGTTCAGCGATGGTCTGCAACGAGACGGATTCGTAATCGAATTACGGCAGGAGGAGTGCAAGAAATAATGGATATGATGAATTTCTCCTTTCCGCGGGCACGGGACGTGTTTATACATCCACCAACTCATCACTGCGAGCTAGAGACGTGTTTACACGTCCTGATGGAATCACCACGACCGCACCGTGACCCATTTCCTTCATATTCCCTCTGTGGGACGGCGACGGGCAAACACAATTCGCCTTCATGCGACCCGTTGTGGGAAATTATTATTGCTCTCCTGTCCCCGAAAGGATTCAATTAATTTTTATCTCACTCCCCTCACCGTTATCTTGTGCGCAAAATGTCTGGAACGGAAAGCAGCAAGACATGGCAGCGATGGTCCTCAGCCTGAACCGGCGAGAACGGATCTTTCCCATCCCATCTCCAGTGGCGTAGCCAGGGTTTCGCCAATGGGGGGGGCTAAGCGGAACGGTGGGGGGCTTCTCCTCGCCCTGTGGGGGGAGGGGGGGGGGGTGGCGGATGCATTTAGAACGGAGTTGGGGGGGGCTTCAGCCCCCTCCAGCCCCCCTTCGCTACGCCACTGTCCATCTCTATCCCATGCGTTCAGCCGTGTTCGTCCGAAGAAAAACTGCTCCATTTGCAGGTGGAGATAAAATTGCTTCATTCCAGAATGATTGAGCATTTTCGGCAAAGTTCATGGGCGGGGAGAATCACCATCAATCGATCTGGATTCCGGGGCAACAAATAATAAAAATAGAAACTTTCCACCCGAAACGTATACTGGTGATGATGATGAGGACGATGATGGCCATGTTGATGATGATGATGATACCAAGAAGGGTGTGCTTTGACATGTGCAGAAGGCAGGCTCTCAGCATGTAAACTGCACCAAGTCGAGACTGTGATCCATAGTCACAAAAGAAGTCGGTAATACTTTTTTTTTTTTAAAAACCACATTGCACTTGCAATCGATGTAAATTTAAATGCGAATTAAACCCCTTCACGGTTCACCGTATTGGGGCAGTGTTTCGAGGGAAGCTTCTACAGTTTTCGGTATACCTGAGCGAAAATTACTCTGAATTTACCTTTTGACCAGCAAATATATAGGTCAAATCGACTGAAACATAGGTCTACCCTAAAATTCGTCCACGATAAAAATCCAGTGAGTTCGAAAGTAAGAGCGTTAAGGAAGATTCCTATATCACTATCACTTTCCTAATAACGATGTAAATGGAGATCCATGGGAAAAAATACTGAACATTCGCACCCACGAGATACATCGTGCGGATTCTACTGCTATTCCCTTAATATGATCATTTTCACCGGGTCGAGAAGCAGGAAGGTCGGATGAGCAAAAGGACGGGGGAGTTTGCATAGGACCTTTGGCGACGCGCGTGGAAGAAATTGGGGGAGGGGGGGGAGCAAAAACCATAGGCCTGCATTCGCTATCACAGATCCCAGAATTTAAGAAAAGAAGAAATTCGTGGGAAGATGGAGAGGATGATGATGGAAAATGGACAGTTGGCGGTCATCACAGCGCAGTCATAACCCCTATGCCGAGTGCGAGATCCACAACCGAGTATTGCTGTTTGGTCCGGATCCCTTTCGCAAGAAAAAAATGGACATTCTTGGCATTCATCATTGCTCATCGAAGGTTTGCTGCTGGCATGGACCGGGCAAATCAGGGGGAAGACTTGCCGTCATCCTGGATGCGTTTTGATATGCAAATGCGTCCTTAAAAATTGAAGAGACGCCTGAATATGCGCCGCTGCGTATTATTTTAGTAATTTCCCATCCGCTGAGCCATTATGTTATACAGTTTCGATATCTGGATGCCGTTCGCGTAGCAGATGGTGATCATTTACAACATGTGAGGGTGACCGGAAGGAGCGAGGGTCGTTCGCGAATTTCATGGTTTAGAGTACCAGTGTTTCGAGATCATCATTGCGTCACGATTCATCCCAAGAGAGAAAGAAGCTACGTCTGACCCATGGTACCACGGAAAGTCGCATTCCCGGTTGCATTTGCCATCGTGGGACTTAGAACCGGATGGACCGGGTCCAGGCGGTACCTCGTCGCCTCCCCCGCCGGCCTCTGGTGTTTTCCAGCCGAGTTTCGAGTCAAGACGGGACGAGATGGAGGTGAATGTGGAGGTGGATGGGGAGGTGGATGGGGAGGTGGATGGGGAGGTGGATGGGGAGGTGGATGGGGAGGATTACATACCCTGCGCCTCTCCATTCTCCTCTACCAATTACTTTCGTATCGTAAGGGGTGGGGGGCAAAGAGGTAAGATGGACCCAGACCCTTCAATTAGATGTCCCACTGTGACGTGACCATCAGGAGGGAAAGATACGTGCATCGTGAAAAATTCCTGCTTAAAGATAGGGCTGTAACCAGAAAATTCCTCCTTAGGTCCTGCACTTTCGCTCTCGCCCTATTCCATAAACCTCCTCCATCTTGACGTCGCCCTATTCTCCGTAGGATAGGCCGCACCAGAATCGATTTTTTCAATTATTCATCCGGGAATGTATGAAAGGGGCTGCATCTATACGGCTCAGGATTCATATCCGACACTGAGCTTCACTACTAGGAGCGTCTTTTGGTCCGTCATTCTCGCGTGCAGAGTTTCATCATCGGGGTGAGTGCAGTCTGCCTTTAAAAAAATCATGCTCTACGTTCTTTCGACCAAAAAGATTTTGTCATGAAAGTTTGTGCGGCGAAAGCAAGAATCAAATTGTGCTACGATGGAGCTCTCCATTTCCCCGATGGCAGGGAGGAAACATCTGCTTAAACACTCTTCAGATGGAACTAATAGGCCTATAATTCCCCATCTGCAAAGCGCGGGATATTACAGGATGTCATTTTCAACATCGCTGCCTCATCTTGAATGAAAGAGTGCACGCACGTCTTTCATCTACGAAGGGTCCGTGCTCAACAAGTAGACCACGGAGACTAAGAAAAGCATGTCTTTGGGAAACCTAATGCAAAAGACGTTGCAGTGCATCACGAAGGCAAGGACTTCCCTCCAAGGAAAACCTTCCCGAATGCGAACCGAAAGTGAGACATCGTCTCCCTCGCAGCTCCAATTCCGGCACAAGCTAAGCGAAAGGTTGAGAGCCGTGACCAAGTACAAGATGACGTATGTCCCCCCTGATGTTCATCGAGAAGAATATTATGATAACCGATGCCTCAAGAGAGCCTACGAGGACGCGATGGTAATCCAAAAACTCCCCAGGGATGCGTAAAACAAAAAATCAGCAAAACATTTTTCAACCTCCAGATAGTTGAAGAATTCGAAAAGGACGGGTCATCGGCAGTCATGCAAGGTCCTAATTTACTTTTAAAGTTGCGCATAACTTGGCTAGGCTTCGTTGTCTTGTATGCCTCAAATCACCATAAATACACTTAATTTAATTACATTGATGGGCTTGAACCATTGACAAGCTTAGACTTCGCCTGTTCTGAATTTTAGCTTGAATCTTTGAGTTAACTAGGCTCAAAGCTTTCCTGACGCAGGGGCTGGGCGAAAAATTAAACTTTCATAATTTTTCTGCAGTTCGTAACGCAGAGAATGCATCCATTCCTCTTTTCTAAGTTTAGGAATTTCTAGGGGCAAGCGCTACCAAATGCAGATCCAGCGCGATTGCAATCGCATCATCCACGGGAAAAATCACAGGATTCAGGCCGTTCTAGAATGAGAAGGCCCTTGGAGGTCTTCTATGAGACCTCGGGTGGTTCCACGTTGGAGAAGCTCTTGACGACACGATAGATGCCGGTGTACCCGCAGAGTCTCGCCCGGAGGCTGGGGAGCAGCTGGGCACCGTAGACCACGTTTTCGATGAGCCTGGAACATTCCACCAGAAGGAGGTAGAAGACGTGGCCTCTGTTCCCCGACGACTTCAGTAGAGACATCTTCCGGAGACCCACGCATTCCGGCAGGGACAGGTACAGCAATCGAGCTCCTGCGTCAATCACCACATGTAGTTCATCAGTTCACGAGTTCCTCGGTTCTATACTTCGTGGTTCAATTGTCGTAACTGCGTTGCAGTCATAATTACACGAATGCAACAGTCCATTTGTGCAGTGGGTTACGAATTCATAAACTAAGAAGTCATCAACTTCAATGTTCTTAGGTTTAGTGTTAGTAAGTTCATAGATTATAAGTTAAGAACTATGAAACTATGGCATAGTTTATAAATTCATGACCTTAAAAAGTCAAGAGTTCGAAGCTTTAAAAAAGCTCATCATGGTCAGGTGGTTCGTCTCAGGTCACAGTGCTAGAGGTCGGGGCCCCGCGACCGTCATTGTACAATTTGATAGTAATATAAATCTATGGCATTTCAAGGGGTTCATTAGTTCCCCAAAAGAGCGATGACGCTCACCGAAACCTGCAGAAACGAAAGCTTCTCCACAACATCCCAGGAAAAGAAAAAAAGGGAAAGGAAAAGAAGACGGAAGAAAAAAGGAGGGGATATTACAAGGTCGAAACAAGGAGGAATTCGGGGTTGCCGGGAAGGCGGAGACCTGCTCAACGGCCCTCTTTCATATCTCCCCTGCCAAGAACGGAAGGGAAGGCTGAGCCGTCACGTGTTCAAGCACGAAGTCCACGAAGTTCTTTCTCGTTCTTCAATCATGACTGGAACACGCACGTCGACGTTCTTTCAATGTCAATCGGTTGTCTCAGTATTTTACAGATGAAGCGATTCGTTCTGGAGTTGGCTGGGGTTTGCTGCCCTTCCTACAATAGTTGCTTTCATGGAAGCGTGAATTTCGCAGTGGTGGCGATCGGGTAACCGCCATCTACGTGACAGACGAGACTCTTCCTTAGGTCCGAAGACTCGCCAAAACCTGTGAATTCTCATTGTACTTGCTTGTTCTTTTACTTGAGCTAGAATTGACAGAAAAATAAGATATTTTATTGTTTTTTTTGTAATTTCCGTAATTCTAAAAATTCTGTTTTTCTGTTTTAAATCTGTAAGCTTGAGTTTTTTCATATGGAACATAGACACCTTTACCCTTAAGCCCTCAAACTTGACAAACAAGACAAACTTGAACGAGTACGCCATGACTTTGAAGACATGCCAGCGACCCGAACACGTTCTCATTCCCAACATTAAAGTCTCTGCATCGATCGTTCGGCTTTCTTCGTGGAGTCCTTCCTCCAACAGAAGAAGGCATTGCAGCACGCGCCTTGGTCTTCATTTGTACCCAGAGAAATAAAAAAATCCAGTAGAGCCTAAATCAGGGGAACTAGAGGCAATGCAACGCATCTAAAAAGCTGGATAAGTCGCCGAGGACCTTCCGCTTAGCTCTTTTCTTTCTGCAGTTTACTACAATTAATTTTTTATTATTAATAGTTAATTCTTATTCAGGGAAAAAAAAGAACAAATATACGAGGTAGTTTTGAATCACTTAGTGTACTTGATTTCTAGTAATCTTCAGAACTCGGAAACACCAGAGAGAAAGCATCGACTTTGATATTATTTCCCCTTCGTATTCCATGCAGGTTTTGAAATAGAATGAAGGACAGCCAATCCAGATGATGGGGAAATCGCATTAGGCGGCTTTTGCCTACTCTGGATCCGAATTGTCGGACGGCAATCGAGATGCAGCAGAAGACGGACCCTTCACAAATTCCATTTCACCATCCCATGCTGAAATTCCCTCTACTCGGAAGAGAAAACCGGATTATCCCCCTCCAACTCCTGTTTACTTCTTTTACTCCTTTCGACGATAATTGAATCCCTCCTTGAAACACCACGCACTCAAAGTTGGAACGAACTTTGCCGGAGCAACAGCTGACGAGGAGAGCTACATCTACTTGAATTACTTTCGCGTATTTGCCGAGGGAAGAGTTGGAACACTTCGCAGAGAAGATAGAGAAGGCCTTCTCCCAGGAAAAAAATAAAAAATAAAACAGCATTCTTGCTAATTACATGAAGGATCCAAACAAGTGCACGTGGGTGAAAGCTACAATCGGCTATTCAGGCGATTCTAAAGCGGAGTTTGCATTACACATTAAATGTACCACTTGATATTTTATCTTCCGTTAATTTCAATGTCATTTTCATTTTTCATCTCTTTTAAAAATCATTTGTGAACTCAGAGAACCTCTCCGCGAAGGCGTAAAGTCGAAATGAGAGCAACACGATCTTCGTCAATCCAGAGTATAGATAAATATCCTGAACAACCCTCCCCTCCCCCTCTCTCCCTTCCCTTCCCTCCCCTCCCCTCCCCCTCTCCCCCTCCCTCCCCCCTCTCCCCTCTTCCTCCGGTTCTTAAACATGACCAAAATGGAATGGGACGCCAGCGAGAAGGAAAGTTTCTCGCAAAACTTTCCCCCTTTTTTTCATCATGCTTCCAGCGCTCGAGATCGATTATCCAATCAAGGTCTCATCGTCTTCTCCCTTCCCCAAGGAATTTGTTATTTCCTATAGCATTTCCTCCCAGATCCCACTGGACGGAAAAGAAGCTCGTCGTTTGGAGAATCCCTGGCAAGAAGGAGGAAAAGGATAAAGGAATGAACGAAGTTAATGAGCTTGACGGGGAGTCCCTTGGACGAATTTTCCCCTCAATTTCCTCCCTTCTGCCCTTTCTGAGTCTTCATACACATGGAAAAAAAAAAGAACTGAGAAAGAACTCCACGAAGGAACTTTAGCCATAGAAAGCATCACGCGAGCCCATTAAGCACCACAGCTAATTACAAGGAAACATTTATGACCCCCAGCTCGCATCTTCCTGAAGCAGCCTTAATCACTCTCGCCTCTCACCATGGAAACTTCCTGATGAGAGGGGATTTACAGCTCAAGCGGAGGAACCTCATCCGATGGGAAGAGAGAAGGAATTTTCTGTGGGAGTTCACGCAAGGACGAGAAAAAAAAATTCGTTGGACTCCTATAAGATCTATCGAGGTGAGACCTGCTTCTGACAGGTTCTTTGAAGACCCGCGAAGAAGAGGAGAAAGCGTGTCTCACTGCCATTAAATGATCGCACACGAAATGGAGCTTGAATCCTGCTTCGAAAATAGTGAGCACCACACGTCGAACTTCTATTGAGTATTCAGCTTGAATATTTTGCAAAATGTAAAAAGAATAAATAGCATTGGAGGGGGGGGGGGGGGTTCTACATAACATTATTCCGCAGCGTACTTATGTCCTACGGCTTTGTTACACGGTTAAAGTTTCCAGCGGCGAAAGCGCTGGACTCATGTTTTAGCTACTTCTCTCATCTGCATACTTTAAAGCAATTGATAACTAATAGCATGTTGTACAGCATGGTTTTTGCGAAAACTTTGCCTTGGAGTTCATCATTGCCAAATTTCGACTCCATCAGCCAGAGAACTGCCATTAATGAATTTCCTTGCCATAGTTGTGATCGGAGAAACCTCATTTCCCACCCTTTCCCTTATTGGTTCAAATCAAATTGAATTTCTTTGTTCCGAGCCGAACAAACGGGCGAGATGGATTCCGAGAAGAATCGCAGGGAAATCTCGAGAAGCTGCGAGTTCAACAGAAAAAGACATTCAGCAGTTTTTACACAATTATTCTATTTGGATTGAGAAGCGTCATTCAGACTCTTCTCAATCCAAGAAATCTCAATTCCAATCTCAATCAAACTAGAAATACGAGCGTTCTCCCTCATATATATAATTTACAAAGAAGTTTTCATGAAGCTCGACCTAAAATTGCAGACGTGATGACGTTCAGGTCGCTCATTCATCCATTTCCTTCCATGCGAAATTCAATGCGTCTGCAATACAGGTTTGGGCCTTTCCGTTCAGACCTATGCCATCGATTCAATGTCGACAGGGGGTTGATTGAAATATGCCATGTTTACGGTTTACACCTCCACGTTAAATGCATGACAATTCCGAGCATTTATCTGTGCGGATACCTGGGCGACATTTCTGCTGTGAAGTATTTGTTAAGGAGTGCCCCATCAGGGCTTGTCAAAGAATACACGCAACCTGCCAGAACGCCTATCGATCATCAGTTCTCTTCCCAGTTAAATCATTGTTCTTCTGCGTGTACTTCGGCATCATCATTATATGTTGCTTCAAAAACGGCTTAATGTTGGTTATTTATGACCCATGGAACATTTTACATTCTCCTCATCATCCATTTCTTATGAATGAATACGCAGTACTTTTTTTCTAAAAACTAAAACCACTCTCAAAGGCTGTATCATTTTCAGTATGCAAAAAAATAAGAGACTTTTGTAAGGAAATACAGCGGCATTGGGCAAGCCATTGCGCAGTTGCTCGAGCAAACAAGGTTCCCACAATCGAAGAGAGGTGGTCTCCGAATTCGGAGATGGTAATTGTCTGATCGCAATTTAAAATATTCTCAGCACGTTTCAGACGGAACCCGATCTCTTCCTGCAGAAAACTTTGTGGAAGAGATTGGAATCCTTCAATACATTAGCCTAAAGAGGTACCCCTGCCTGGGGAAACTCCAAGCGATTCCGGCTCAGCTGTTAGGGGGAGGATGGTTCAGCTATGGACCTCACTCGGGACTAGGAGCTAAGTGCTTATCCAGGTTCGGATCTCTATTGACAGCGAAGAATAATATTTGCCAGTGCAGACTGCGTCTGATGCCTCTTGAAGAGGTACTCGTGAAAAAAGAGATCACACGTGAGATATTATTGGACGAGTGACCCGTAATTGGTGAATGCTTCCAGTCAAATATTGCTTCAGCATAAGTCGTGTTGATGCTGAACCTTAAATCAATGTTGATTCACTGAATACGTGCTGCTCTGAATGGTATCTCTCGGAATTGGACCTCATCCATTTTTCGCCCTCGCCCTTCCTCCTTGAGACACGGAGGTCCTCTCGTGACACAAAGAGACGAATCTCCTGGCTCCCTACGTCTCTAAAACCATTGTCAAACCCAACGCTGTTTGCTCATACGGTACATATTTCCGATGCATCATGCAATAATTTGATGCACACCAACGCATTTAAACACATCCTTTAGAAAAAAGAACCTGGATGCAGTGCAAAGACTGGTAGAAGCTGAAAACGTTACTTACAATATCTCACATGATGAAAAGATCATAGCTGGAGCCCTCTTATACGATGGGACGAATCCAGGGGAATATAGATAGGCCTATTGATATGGCAGGAGGCCTATGTCGTGTCTCGAAACGAACCTCATGCATTTTTCATCCCTTCCCTCCCCCTCGAGATACCGAGACCTTCCTCAAGCACGCAGGAAGGAAACTCCATGCAGCCGGTCACAAATACCTTCTATCATGCCCTTTCACTTCCTTCCTCCCTTCAAAGTTCTACTCTTGGAGGCACATGCGTCTTCCCATGATACATGACCGAAGACGCACCGTTTCTCGCGTCTCGGTTCCCCTTCAAGTTTTTCTTTTGGCCCAAAAACGACGAGGTAAAGACGATGCATTGGGATCGTGCCAAGCCACAAAAGAAGCCGACTGAAGTTGGAAGGGACTCCGTTCTCGTACTCTACGTTTCCCTCTCTCTTCACCCAGAACAACTCGGCGTAATGCTGCGATTTTTCGGACCGATTCGCTGGCCCCCTTCTGGAGATTTTTGCACGTGCTTCTATTTTCACGTGTTGTTTTTAACAGAAAACTATTTGCACACTCAAGAGAAGTCGGATGAAGTTCAATGATAAATTATATGAAGGTCTTCGTAAATCCGATAAAGTCTTTCTTCACAAACTTCCTCACAGGTTGTGCATGTGAAAAGCAAATAAACACTTTCACAGTGTGCTTTGGGAGTTTTGTCTCTTCATGCTATTTTCTGCCTGAATGAACTCAAACAACACATGCGTCAACAGCGAAAAATAATGAAGCCATCAAGAGAGAGATGTTCTTCTCCTTTTTCCTCTAACCCTTTCAGTCGCGAATGATTCTCTGCCCTTTTCCTGAGCTCTTTTCGGATGAAAGCTTTCATAGTCTCGCCCAATAACTTTATTATGCATTTCGATATCAACAATAAATGTTTCATGAGAATGTCAGCTGCAATTTTTTAACTAATTGGTTGCAATGATTACCATTGAATGTACTACGGGTTTCGGTGAATCCCCCGCTGCAGGAAAGTGATTCATGAGTGAATTTATGGATGATACATAAAATCGTTAAAAACTGCTCAGTTTTCGGGCTCAATGTTGGTCTCAGGGTGAGCGAAAGAATTAAGGAGTATGCTTGACAGGGAGGCCAATCCAGCGAGAGCGAATGTCTTCGTGTGTATCCCGTTAAGGGCATCTCGCTAACACAACCGACATGCGTGATCTTAAATTCCAACGGTGTTCATGCCTCATCGCGTCACGTGAGGTGACGTGTTGGTTCCATGAGGGTGACATGAATTCCCTTATTTGCTGATGATTCTCTGGATTTCAAATCAATCAAACATATTTGAGAATACATTATGAGAAAATTGCAATAAGGCATCATTCCTCAGCTGATGAATCGTGCAACGTTGTCCACGATGCCTGGAAATTATTAGTAATAAGTACATGAAAAGCATGCCAGATAGAGCGAAGGCTGTGACTGAAGCCAAAGGTGATTCTATCCACTACTAGTCATGTTGGCCAACCTACTTTTGATATTCCGTAACTTGGTTACGTAACTTTGAAAGACGTAACATGTCTTTAAAAAATGAATTAAATATATATTTTTTTCGGAAATGGTTTTCCTGATCCTGTCAACATTTCGAGCAACAGCATATGTAAGACCATGACCAAGAGCAGTCCTTAAATAAAAGAGACGGGCTGATTTGCCTTTCCCCATTCAGAGGTCGCATGCTTCTACTCCGACCGAGCTTATCCCTCAGAATTTGGTTCCAGACTGACCGGTCCAATCGAGCCAGTGTCGCTCGAACTTCTCTCCGTCGCTGCCGGGGAGAACCCTGAAGATGGAGACGATGAACCCAGAGCTCCGCTTTCCCGGCTTGTCTGTCGTCGCCTGAAGCGTGACGGGGGGTTTGCAGATGATGGCCACCTCGTCGAAGTGGTCGACCACGTGGTGCCGGGGGTCCAAACTATCGAATTCCCGGAGAGCATCGTCCAGCACTTGGTTGCTCACCTCCTCCGGGTCATGCCGTCTCCGGTCCACCGAGTAGTAACTCACGAACGGGTACATGGCTGTTGCGAAGAGAAATATTTCTCACTCTTCAGCGATTCTCGAAGGGAAACATGAGTGGAATGAAAAGTATTCAGTCCCTCGTATATGGATCTGTGCGAATAAATTCAACTTTACTGTGTAAATATTCACGATCGGTACATGCAGTGATTCGGAAAACATTTTTATCATAAGAAATATTGCTCTGTTCATTGACTGGCAAAAAGTTATCGGGGATAAAATACAGCTTCAAGAAATTTAATTGGCAACGAAAGAAATCGAGGGAAACAAAAACCTCGATAAAATGACTCACTTTGTTATTTTAAATTATTATTATTATTTTTTAAAACTTTTTTCATCGCACCCAAAATCACTGCATACATTAGATTTATTTTCTGCACGATTCTGGTTCATTCACATACGGTCAGTACATAGAACGACAAACTTTGGAATCAGAAGTAGAATTTTTCGAGTGCTGCTGTCCTCGCACGACCCAGGTGGAATACAAATGTGGCCATCTGCACCCACTCCGTGATACCGATCAGTCTCCCAGAGTTTCCTCTCTTTCTTTGTCCATTTACTTGGAATAACACGATCGCACGAGATTTATGCGTTTCCTTCCTAAAAGGGGCTCTTATGACGGTATCGCTTTCTTTCGAATGAGGGGAACCCGAGACGATCGCTGCTCAATCATTGATCTGTTCCCCTTATCGATCAAGCAGGAAATGCGAGCAGGCAGGAGAAAATCGTGCAATGTTGATATGAGAGGAATGCAGTGGCCATGCCGTGTTCACATAATGACAATGCGTCTTCCCGCTCCTCTGCAGGATGCATGAATTGCTTCCATTCGTCTCGCTCTTTCCCCTTTTCTCGAGGCGATGGAACGAGGAAATTGGATTTGGATGCGATGATGAGTCCCAGAAGGAGCTCCGAGTTGACAAAAAATGAAGAAAGTGAATAATTATAAAGCTCAGGCGAGTGTGAAGAAAATCGGATTTAACAAGATGAGATGAGGCTGCTCGGGGAAGCTCTCGAGAGCCAAGCTCCCTTTGCCAGGGATAACATTCCCAAAACTAATATGGACCAACGATCCTCCCCGACTTTGCCTCTGTGTGTATCTTGTGTTGAGGGGAAATCGTGTAAATATCCAGAGGAAGAAGCTACTAATAAGGTCAAATAACGTTCATAAGGAATTCCTCCTGCTCTGGGAAGAAAAAGGGCTCCCTGGGGATTCCATGTTATCTTTGAGCGAAAGCCGGCAGTGATTTGACATCCTTTCAGCATTTCCCCCCTCTCCTCATTTTCCGTTTTTCGAGGGCGAGTTGTTGCGTGGCATCTTATCATGATCAGAGGACAAAGAAAGAAAATGGAATCATTTCCGGGAAGCCAGCTGTCTGCCATGTCTATCCATTGTCACACCTCGCACGAGATGTACAGCGACTCCAAAAAAAGTGAGCAGCCGATACAAGATCAACGGTTATGCAGCATTAAAGTATTACTCGATGCATTGCACTGATTAGAGCCCTGTTTCGAGTTTTATGAAGCATTTTTTCAGTGCGGACGTGGAACGTTCGGCCTATCTGAAGTTCCTCGAACCATCTCGACCAGATCTGAGGAGAGAATGCCTCCCCGGGAAGCATGGGATGCATGGTGCCATACCGTTAGCTCAGGGATGTCCGGATCTCCATATTCTACCATATCGATCGGCCACTGCAAAGTATCGTTTCATTCTCAGCTCATATACACAGTTCATCTCATGATGACTTGACATAAAAATGTCCCATGCATTAAAAAAAATTATATCCAGACATCGATACGAAGGCTGAAACAGTCATGACTCTTACATAACTCCGGTACGATATCCGATAATACAGGGGGGTAGGACCGGAGCCAGCACGCTAAACCTAAATGAACGACAGCTAATTTCTTCTTTTTTTTAATGCTAAAATGGAGCATCGCAAACAACAAAAAGGACACTTTTCATCTTCAAGTCAACCTTTTTCTTATGGGTGGTCTCTTTTCTTCGGAACCCCCCCCCCCCCGGAGTGACTACCCAGGGGAGGGGGGAGAAAAAAAAAAGAAAGAATGAAATTCGCATATTCAAAAAGCGATGTTTAGTGCTCTCCACAGCCCCGGGGAGATGGAGTTTCAAATTTTCTGGAGCTGTACTGTGTTGAAAGAGGAAGAAACATGCCCAATTTCGTTCTAGTTGATGCTCTCAGAGAGGAATACGAGGAGATTGAATTTTGTTACGGGAAGGGGTAGAACAAAGGTAATAGATGCTATTGCGCCTATCGATCTTAGGATTATTTTTTGCGAAGGGGATTTCAAGCGGTGAGACTGTAGGAAAAACGTTCAGTTTGATTGAGCCAGTCTATTCTTGCAACACCTGTGAATTCGGCTCATAGACCCCTTATCAAAATGCTCCCACCAGCAAGCAAGTATGCGTATTCGTTCGGAATGACCTCTCGAGAGGTTTCGAAGTCGCCCGAAAAAAAAAACCAGATTATTGTCTCGGTACTTGATGGCGCGTGTGACCCTCATGATTAAGCGATTTAGCCTTTTGAGTTATTTGTGCAGAAATTATGATCCTCATATCTACTTCAAATTGCATATACAGTTCATTGCGCATCACATCCACAAAACGTACGTTGTTCTTCTCTAGCCTTTTTCATTCAACCTCTCTAATCTCCAATTCCCTGATCTTTGACCTTCGTCAGACCTTCATTACTCTTCTCATTAAGGATTCCTATTGGCAGCTCGAGGAGAGTCCCGTATCATCTAGGTCGCGTGTTTGGGTTTGAAACCGGATTCGATAAGAGGACGATTGTTCCTTTTCGCATTTCTATGTCCTTGACGCATAGGTTCCCGTGAATAAATGTCGCCCTGTAAGGGGCAGAAACTTTTAAGATTAACTTGAACCACTTTCAATAACAGGTCATAGTGGTTAAACTTCAGGGCGAGGCAGAAAGACACGCACTATTTAATGGTGTCGGACATGCCAAAAGTAAATGCACAAAATGAGATCTAGATGCATTTTTCGGCGCACCGAAGAAGCCTCTACCGCGTATTGTGGAACAGCGCCAGCAATAACGAAATGGATACAGCTTACAATTCGACGCTGACATCCAGGAAGACACGGGAGGACCCCCCTCCCCCCCCCACTCCTTGCACCACCTCGACCGCGATGAAAAAAGAGGCGAAAAGAAGGGCACAGTCGAGGATGCGTGCCGTGGCTGTCGAGGGAGGCTGTCTGCTTTCGTCCCATTGCGTGTTTCATCAGTCGCGCGGGGTCGAAACATCGCGAGGCGGATTCTGATTCGGTGATTTGGAAACTAATTGGTAACCATGTCGGCTTTTGTGCGCTATAAACTTGCGTCTCACATAGAGTTATCAAAGTTTGAGACAATATAAGCAACCATTTGTAGGTCCAGCAAGATAATTTAAAGTAGGAAGTTATTTCCGACCTCGTACCTCTTACTACAGCTGTTTTTTACCTTTTACCTCCAAGAAGAGTAATTAAACTTTTTGCCTTGACACTTGCTGATATCTGTGGTGATCTCGCCACGAGGCGAAGTTTTTTCATCGATATCTCAACTTTTCTGCGAAAATGAAATTATAATTCAGGAGCACCAACACTTGATTTTGCGGTAAGCAAACGCCTTTCTGGCCCAACGGTATCTTGCTCGCGTCTCTTACCGCTTGCCAGAAATATAACATCCGAAAAAATTCTTGGACAATCTGCAAAACAGGATCTCGTTCCTTCGAGTTCCTCGCAATTTAATTTTTTTTTTACGCAGGAACACCTTGAGAGGAACAAACGTGATGAGAGGCAAGGAGCTTTCGCAAAGGAAGAGCTTTCACCCCCCGGTCCATCCTGGAATACATTAATGCGGCATTTCTTCTGCTTTTGATTGGGGAGTGGAAAAGATGTTTCATGTGATATTCATCAATACTACTTAATATATTTCTGCCTGATAAGTGGTTCCAAGTTCCTCAATTGTATTGAAAGCTATAGTCAATTCATAACAGAGTAGACTCCGAGTTTAAAATATTTTTTAACTAGACCACACTCACGTCCCGCGGGATCTGCTTCGCGGGTAGCAAAATGTCAACAGACGTAAGCAGGGTTAACTTTTAATTAGCAGAAAGAGAAAATACAATTAGTAATCAGTTGTAGAGGGCGTCGTTGAGGTTGAAGAGACTGCGTAGTCCAATCCAAGAAAGAGCACCATAAAGTAGCATCGGGGGGAAAAAGCTATTTAACTTTTCAATTAATTAATCAATTAACACGTTATATATATTTTTGCAAGCCTACAGACCATGGCAGTTAATATGAGACCACTCTCACCGTCATATGACCTCTCCTTCATAGTTAGCTAATACGATAAGCTGTGTATTATAATGTAGATTGTCATCGACGTAGGGGAGAGCTGTAAAGGAGTCGAATCAAATTGCAACAACTGTGATGACGGCAGCAATCGGACGATTCACAGCCTAGAATTAGGGGATGACCAGCGTGGTCAATTTTTTCTGCCGGCAGTCTGATGAGTTTCTATTTGCCAGCGTATTTGTTGCTTCGAGGATCGAAATTATAAAAAAAAACTTGCCGGACTACTGGGTCTCTAACCTATCAGAAAACATGCGATTATATCTAGAATGCCTTTAAATGAGGAGCAATTATGCTTCAATTTGAAGAGTTTTGCTTCAAGATTCTATTTTGAGATTTTTCTATTCTGAGCCTTGGCACACATCGAGACAGGTGCTCATGGCACACAAGAGACACTTCTCCTTGAGTAACAGGGACTAAAAATCGCGAAAATAAAGAAGCGAGGGCGATTTTGACGAACAGGACATGAAGAAAGCCATTACTTGTGGGACTCCTCAAGGATACAACGTAAGGAAAGCAGTTCGGAAGGGGCTGCTTCCCAGCTCGGAAGGGGCTGCTTCCCAGATCGGAAGGGGCTGCTTCCCTCGCACCAATGAGGATGCGAGCACTCTTTTCTCGCACCAGCAGGTGAGG